AACCATTAGTCTAGTGCTTTCAATAGAAGTCGAACCTAACGTTTACTTTTCATTGGTAGGTTTTCTCATGCAAAGTAGGACGGATAAGGAGGAAATGGAGAAGAGCTTTTTAATTATTTCCAGCCGGTGCTTTAAAAAATTAATTATCTATGTGGATTTTTTTACACACAATAGAATATGCAATTGTTTATCAGGGATTGTATTCAAGTACTGAATTATCCCTGATTGAAGAATTTAATTTTAAAAGATAGAGCCGTTTTATACATAATATAACCCTCATTTGTACCTGCGAGTAATCTCGTTTCTTGAGTCCTCCAGTATGGGATTGCTTCGGTCCCGGCCTCCTTTCGATTTCTTGCCCTTCCAATTACACATGAAATTGAATAGGGAGGCTAGGAGGTCGATATGCGGTTAAGCGTTGTCGAGGACCATTAATATTTTCCCGACCCGGCGGGGTGTAATTCAAAAACCACAATGAGAGGACAATGAACGCCGACTTGGTTAATACTGAGCCGAGTGGAATACCGAAATCTTGAATACAGGCTGTAACGCAACCTTTCTGGATTAGTTTAGCCATACTTTGTGATAAATGAGCCAAAAGCGCGTAATTTTAATAATTTTTATTGCCTCTTTTTGGAATTCCATATGTCTCAAATGCCTGGCCCATCACTTAATCTTTCTTTAAAATGTGTTTCGAGGGGGAAACACCGATTCCCACTAGATTTGAATGTACTATTTCACGCGTTGATTAATACCCGTGAAGTTCGTCAATTGTTCAAAACCTTTTATGCGAATTCCGGGCTGGTATGTCAAATCTCTCTATTCTTCAATGAACAAACACGCCGAATTGTATGGACCGGCGTATCGGCTTGAAACAAAAAGAAAAAGTCAACTCAATGAGATAGATCGATCGTCAGATCTAAAACAATGGACCGTCGATTCGCGCGCAGTGCTTAGCAAATATTCCCTTCCTGTAAACAGCGTTGGCGGATCCCCTTGAAAATTGGTGTTTTGAAGGGCTGAACAAACAATGATGACTCGCCGCTTTAAACTGTTAATCGAAAATAGAAGAAAACAGTTAACTAATTCATCTTGGCTTAGGCAGCATTTTGATTGTTTATAAAACATAAAATCAAGTCCTTTAACGTGTCTATTGTACCATGAACAATAAGTGCAACTTGGTTTTTGTCGAGGCAACAACTGCTTCTAAAAAGGGCGGGTGCTTCATGCATATCTACGGGGACTTGACAACATTACTTTTCATAAAGGGACAAAGACTATGTTACCTTATTTTGGTAAAAGAAGCGGTTTTATCATTTCTTGTCAATAAAAAGATGTTCCGACTAGTATTAACATCGTACAAAGACTTCCACTGAACTGCTTTAAGTATGACGTCGGTGATAAAATCATTTATTTATAATTTTTTTTAAACGCGTTTTAATGCTTTTTTTATGCTGCTCAAGCTGATCTTAAGCTTTTAGTGGCTTTTATTATTAAAGGGGGCGGTTCGTTTGCGCTTTTGTAAAGTTTTCAATGAACTGAAAGTTGTGCGTTAAAATTAATTTCAGTCTTAATAACTCCACCTATCTTCCGTAAAAAATGGTGTTTTGAAGTTCATTTTTCAAAGTACCGAGTAATTTTATATAAATTCCAATTGAAGTATTAAACAAACAGTATTGTTCTTGTTGTGTTTGTGTTTTTTTAGGACTTAATCCTTAGGGGAGAAAGACGAACATATTCGTCTTGAAATTATTTCAAACCGCTTCAGATAATATCGTATGTGTTATGAATGAAATAACCGATATAGCCGCATTCGATATAATTATTCCGTTTTACAGCTCCCCTATTTATGACCGTTTGGGTTGGTGTTTTGGAGCTCCGCGGTTGTACGACAAAGCCCATTTTCTCGTATTGGCCGCACTATTGAAGACATAGCAATAAGTTATTTTACCGCCCAATCTTTAAATGTGCACTGCCTAATTAGTAATTTAGTGGTGTAACATATATGGAAAACTCTAAATTTAACATCCCCAGAACAGGAATTTCACGATAATCAAGAACTTAACAGTTTCACTGATAGATTGCATAGTATAAGCAAGTCGATTTATTATAAGCATAACATTTCAACGGAATGTTCTAAATAAGGTCAGATTGTGTGACTGACAGGCTGTTCAATCTGAATGCCCGTCAGCTTAAAAGTAAATGGGACATTCACTTTATTCAATTGCTCCCTGGATTTTTAAAACTATTGTAAATTTTACATCACTTGCTAGCAATGGAGTTTTTAAAGTAAGCCCTTTCATACAAGAAGGTTTAACGTCCAACAAACCAGTAGATGACAACCAACTTTACAATTACAAATTACCAATTAAAATTCAATGGGCTGTGCCGGGATTCGTACCCAGAATAGATAAATACTTTTATTTACAACAAAAGAAAAAAATAAATTTATAAGTACATAAAAGCATGGATTAAAATCGTCTGCCGGAGCTTGTTGATGTTATCATAAAAATAATATGGAATTTAAAAGAAATGTAAAAAAATTAATTAAAAAAGCTGGTAAGCATATAAAAAACAAAGCAAAACAAAGTTAAAAACACAATAATATGAAACAGAAAAATACAAATTAGTTGACTTAGAAAATCAAACTAGAGATGTAGTTTGTCCTATCAGTATTGATAATTAAATTCAAGTCAAATCTGTACTTCCAGGCATGGCATACGTATTCAATTAATCTGTACGGATCATGTACACCATTCAGATATTTAATTAAGGGATCCTTACTTAAAGCAAAATTCCTCAAATAAAGCTGACGTAATTCCCCCAGTATCGCGCATTCCGCTAGAAATTGAAAACCGGTTATTAAGGAGAAAATTGTTATTTTTCAAACTTTTGTAAAAATTGCATAAATTGCAAGCAATGGAGTTTTTTCCTTTTAAACATTACTTTTTTTTACCTTTTTCTACAAGAAGGCTTAATGTCTAACTATCCATTGTATAACAACAAACTTTACACTATCTTTTACTTATAATTACAAATTAAAATTCCAAGGCTGTAACGGGATATACCTTTACTGTGTTAAATTCGAAGACCCCATACAAGAAACATCACAAAAAGAAAGATCTCGCTTTCGTTGTGCTACTTTTGTACTATCCTAGTATTTAATGGTTTAAGCCTCACCGAATATATCAGATAAGTTAAATATCACGACGCTTTTATTTAAATTATGAGCAGGGGTGGTGTGCAATCCTCTTAAGTTGGTTCGTAATCCTAAATATGTTCGTCTAGTTATAATATTTACTTATATCTTTTAAGCTTGTTAATGAAAAAGTCTATTCTATTAAATATTGTTGTAATTTACATGATGCTCCGTTCTGCAACCTAATATGATGATATTTTTTTGTCGGATCTTAAAATTTAAAAAGTGCATTTAAATGTTGTTGTTTTTGTTTCTATGCTGCTCCATAGTACATCTATAATGCTGGTTTTACATTGGATGTACTTGAAATTCACAGCATCTTCGAATCCACCGACGTTGAAGGCTTAAATATTATTTCGTTTACTACTCCAATTTTTCAAGCTTACTGTAAAAAACATGCACATAATTAAATGTAATAATATTCTTTTCGTAATTATGCTTTATGCAGCGTAATTATGTTGGCTTTTCTTTTAAATCAAAATATTTGTAAGTCCGTTCAAATTCATAAGACTGGTTTTTATTCCAAGTTAATAGGCTAATTATCGGTATATATTCACAGAATGTAAATGCTATATTGTTTCCTTTGAAACGCAACTTTTATATTAGATTTACTTTTAAAAAAACCAAGAACATCTTTCAAACAAGGTGCTTTATAGGTCTCTCAGTATTATTTCCGTTTTTACAAGTCTTCATTCCTTAAAGCTATCTTGGTTTTATTTAATTGTTTTAGGTACTTTGTCGGAATAAATTCACACAATTTAAATGTAAATGTTTTTGTCATTATACAGCACAATGATGCTGTTTTCATAGTGACTTTACTCCATCTTACCAATAATTTTATTGTTCAATTTGTTGTAGTTTTTCTTGAATACTTTTTTGTTAGTATTTTTGTCATATTTAACATCTCGACAGATGGAATCCATGCTTAACTTTAGTAGCTTTATTGTTACTGTTCAAATAAATTGCTATTTTTAAAGAAACATTTGATAAATTATAAGGACTACTGCTACCTAAAGCCTACTTCATGCGTGTAGCTCTCGAACGATGTGTTACATGCTTACATTTCTTAGCATTTAGTTTAAATTAAATTATTATTATTTTGGGGATGGTTAATGAAAAAAAAAAAGAAATTATATCAACTATAAGCAAGACACTTCTTAAACCCTCTGCTTCATGCGTGTACTACCTCGACAGTTGGACCATCTGCTGAATTGAATTTATTTTCTTTCTGTTTGACAAAATAATCGTTCTATTAAACCCACATTCAAAGGACTTTTGACAGGTATAATCATGAAAAATCGAGGTGAACATTGTAGCAATTAAATTGGACAATTTATTCATCTATTGGATTTACTATTGTTATTTAATTGGTCGCATATTTAAACCAGCTAAGTGGAAGTTTCTTGATTTTTTTTCTGTAGAAGGAAAATTTTATTTGAGAAGATGCTTATAAACTTTTGTTTGATAACGATGTAATTATTCAAGAATATATTTGGAATGTTTATTTTTCTCTTTTCTATTTTAAAATGCCAAATTTGTCTACTTTTCGCGCTAGGAAGCTTTCTAGGTAATACTTCTACACAAAAGTCAAAACTGCTTACTATAATAATAAACAATCTCATTTGATATTTTGTAATTAAAATATAAAAAAAACTTAAACTTCTCAGAAATCATAAAGATAATAAAGCTTCTAAAACTGTCAACGGTGTCACTGTCAAATAGATTTTTGCAGCGTTGTCAAGATCGGGTTTGGCATGCATGGAACACGACAAATGAACACTCACAGATAACACTTGATTACCGCATTGTGTTTGTAGAGCGGGGGGGCAGGGGGTGGGGGCAAATTGGGGGCGGGTAAGGGCTCAGGGGGTGTTAGGCTTGTCACCCAGGCGCCGATAAGGACGCAGCAGCCGCAGCACAGCTCCAGGGCCGCCTGTCGCAACCCTTTGTGCAGCACCAGAAACAGGCTGGGGTTCACGAAGGCGTGCACGTACGCCACGTGAAGTGTGATCTGAAACAAAAGAAACCAACGGCTGTATAAACATGTTACATTAAAAAAAAAAGTGTTAGCCTTGATGAACGATAGGTTCACGAGTGTTCTATTAAGCCTTGTTGAAAATGTAAATCGGGAATTAAAGCCCTGCAGGAAATGTAAACACTGTCCCAGTTGGCCATTTGCATACAAGAAATTACCAGAGGGCCGCTTACTTATCACTGCTTGCTGAATCCGCCCCTTTTCCAAATAAGAAATTAAATTCGACCGTTACTCATTTGGCCCCTACACACAGCAGCTTTTTGAATATAAACATATCTCCGTTGACTGGGGGTTTGATCGAGTGTCCCCCGACCGAGGAATTTGGCCAATTTTGGACCAGTTCCAGACCGCTTCTGCCAGATCTTGATACCCTTACTTTAATATAAATCAACCGTAATAAATAGTTTTTTTAAAACGCTTTATTGTTAATGTTAGTTTGTTTTTATGTACTTTACTTGCACTTTTATGACTTTTGATAACATGTTAAGTCTGTCCCGCCATAATACACATATATCTAACAGACTGTAAAACACTATCGTCAACACGGACCCATAGATGTATAATGTGGAAAGTTTAGGGACCGACAAACGCTTAGGTCAACCTCGGCCCTCTGAGGGTTTGTATTCCTTTTGCTGGTCTTTCATGTTTTCAACTGCAGCCTTTTGAGCATGTCGATTTGTTATTGATTTTCTCGTTTTGTGTTGAAATGTTAGACTCTCATTTGTACCTCAGGTAGTCAAGAAGAGAATACTCACAAAACATATTTCATATATATNATAATTCCTATATAAAAAGAAAATCATTTTATTCGAAGTATTTACCTTCGTTTTCTAAACATTTTTTCCACCGCGTAACCAACTTTTTATCCCGGAACTGGAGAATTCTGAACTTTGAAATGAAACAAAAGCTGAAAACGCTTTTTGGTCTTGAACATCATTTTCAAAAATTTTTCCTTTGACGAAGTTGTCTAAATTCCTAAATAGGTAAAAATCTGTTAATGACAAGTCTGGAGAATAAGGCTGATGGAGAACTTCGCAGCCAAGCTCTTTCAATTTGGCCTGGCGTTGTCGGGGTGGAGTATAAGACCTTTCCGATTTACCAATGCAGGTTGTTTTTTTGAGTTATTTTTTATGCATTTCGTCAATTTCCTTGCAATACGATGCACAGGTAATGGTCTGACCTTTAGGCAAAGAGGAGTAGTGAATAATTCCAGTCATGGACCACCATCAATTTTTATGTGTGTTAATTTGGCTTTGGCATGTTTCCTAGTCTTTCGACGATGGTTAACCATTGCCCTGACCGTCGCTGGTTGTCATCTGCAATCCAATTTTCATCGCAGAGATTATTCTTTCAAAAAAAGGCTCGGTTTTTGCCTGGCGAAACGCATGTCTCAAGGCTCTTTAACTGATGTCGCTCAGTGTGCTCATGAGGGCTCATAGATGAAGCTTTTTGACTTTTCCTTTGTTCCTTAATTGTCTTGACACAGCACTTGCATTTCGTTGTGCTGCGAGTCTTCTGACTGTTTGATAGTCGTTTTCTACCACCTGAACACTGGGGGTTGAACCCGCTTCATTCTCGCTAATAATTTATTTTTACTTCACAGACGTCAGAAACCCCATATTCCTCGTGCGGGGTTAGACCCGTATATAATCCGGTATTATTGTTACTTTAGTCGCTTTTTAATTAAAAAAATTAAAAAATATAATACCTCAATATTATAATTACAAAAGATCATGGATAAGGCGAATTAGAAAGGAAGAAAACCACTCAGTTCCTTCGTCAAGCTTTCAATGAATATATCACCATTATCAGGATTTTAAAATTATTTCTGAATTTAATTATTAATGATTAAAACGGTTAACACCTACTTACACTATTCGAAATTATTCCTTCAAACATAAAAAATTATGAGTTTTGCTTAGTAGAGTGGACGATATCTAAGACCCGTCCATTCTACATTACAATTGTTTTCTTATCACATAAAGTTAATGGGAGGTTGACTTGTATGGACGAATTGTTGATTCATTAAAATATAAGAAACTAGTGTTTTATCAAAATTAATTTTAAATAAAATCAAACTAGTGTAAGTACTAATCACAAAGTTGTTCGATAAGATGGAATGGAAAACTCGATTGAACGTTGTTACCCCACCTTACTCGGATAACAAGACATTCCGACGTTGCCCTTGTCCAGTTAAAAGGGCGATTGCTTTTTATTCGTTGACATTTCCCGATGAAAGGCCTAAACCGGGGCCGCATTCGGCTCAAGAGATGTCGGACTTGTGAAATATTAATTGAGAAACACACGTCGCACAAAGAAAGTTCCTCCGCTTCCGAGCCGGACAGGATAAATGGAAAAGTTTCCTTTTATATATACCTGCGGAAGTTACAAAATTTCCTCGGCTTTAATTAGCCCAGTTTAACCGGATGTAAATAGTCAAAGAACAGGGTACAAGTTAAAGACTTGGAAATTAATTAACAGGAATTCTGTTTCTGAGTAAGTTACTCCGTCTCTTGCGGATTGGTTTCAACGGTTGATGCTCTGATCAAATCGATGAAAAGTTTCAATTATTTTAAACATAGTTAAATATTAAACCATCATAACGTGACACTGGCTTATGTAAATTCAATTTAAGAAAATGTGGGTAATTTTTTTTGTCTGAAAGGGAATTCTTTTTCTCTTACCACTCGTAAAATGATATTTTTAAAAAAGAATTGTCCCTTGGTACTTAGTTTTATAGAAATTTAGTTAGTTTTATTTGATATTTTGGAATCTGCTAGCCTTTTCCCAATTTCACCTTTACCTCCAGAGCTGACTCATATTTTAGTTTTTTAAGTCACCAGTACATATTTAATGTAACGGAAAAAAAAACAAATAATAACATATATGAAAATTTAAAATTACCTCATATCCTAAAGGATTTCCGATGACGGGGTGGCGGACGAGTGTGACGAAGAACAAAGGCCCCCAAAACAGTAGATATGCTGCTGTAATGACCAGGAACATCTTCACCCTCTGGACCCCTTCTCTCTCCACCCTTTGTATATAATTCCGCATTCTCCTGTGTTCCTCCACAGCGCCCAACGTCTGGGGGGAAAATAAAAAAATAATGTTTCAGCTCGGAGTTGGGATGATATATAGAGCTACCGCGCAATAAAATCAGTCGGATGTTTCTGTTCTAAGTTCGAATGCATGGAAATTGTCGCTGTCGTCCCCGTTCTTCTTCCCTGAGATAACGCGATTGAGTATTTCCAACCCGGACGAAAAAATCACGCTTCAATTTTTCTTTTCGCACAGCTTCCTTTGACATTGTTTCCATTTGCCCAATGGGATTTTGCCCGGATTACCTGACTTTTTCCGCAGTTCGTAAATTGTTTTTTTCTTGGAATTGAGGTCATGTGACATTGCTATAAATTCCAAACACAATATTTGATCTAATGTAAAAAAGTTCGATGTGTTAAAGCGACACAAAAAGTTTTCAGTTAATTAGTTTATAATGAATTTTCCGGTATGATTTACTTTTATTTCTTATTATTAAGGACGTTTTAATTTAAACATTATTGCTAGTCTTAGAATAATTCATTGGATTCTCTCAACCGTTACAGGATTATTCAGACATTTAATTCCCTCGCCCGTCTAGGTTCAGTGGTTTTATTTATTCGCCGACTCGGTTTTAACTCTTGGAGCAATTCAGTATTATCCATTTTCGCGTAGTTTTAATTAAAATATAGATTAATCGTTGCTCTTGGTTAAAAAAATGTATATGATAGCATTATTCCGAATTAGATCGCGGATCGGATAAATTCCTTTCAGAAAGGGTATTGCACATTGTTTAAATATTAAATACTGAAACAAAATATTTTCTCTAATTATTTTTTTGGACTTCATTACGCGTATTTTTAGAGGCCGGGTCGCCGATTTCAAAGAAATTTCGTTTGGTGATTCAACCTATAAAAATATTAGATTTATGTCCGAAAGATCTATCCAATAGTCCTCTGGACCCGAGAAAACGTTTTTCCAGTATAACACACATTTTCCACTATATAATGCAGAATTCGCTATTCCACATAAAATATTGTTCTTTTTGACGCTAGTTTCGGTCTCTTCAACTTAAAAAAATCTTGTTGAAAATAGTTTTATAGCTATTTAAAGCTAAACAATTCCAAAAACGACGGGTTTGGATTTGCTCAATCGTCAATTCAATATAAAAAGTCATACAAAACTGAGACTACCTTTTATATTTATTTTGTTTTCCAACAGTATACTCATATTTAAAGAATATACTCATTTTTATCTCAACTTAAAACCTTAATTAATTGAAGAGTATACTCATATTGTTGTGTATACTCATAGTGTTTCGTCAACTATTGCATTGATTGTTCCTTTATGGCGCAAAACTTATTCGATTTGAATCCAATAAACGGAGTATTTAAGAGTTCAATTAAAAAATAGTCAATACTAAAATATATAAATAAAGGACAGTGCTTTTAACCAGAATAGGGCAGAAGGTAGACAGAAGTGCCAAAATAGGTGCTATTAATGAGCGTTTAATTGGGCGGTAGTTTACAGAATTGTAGATGATTCATTTTGCAAAAATCCAACAAGTTCAATCTTAAGTACATTTCTATGACTGTTTAAAATAGAAATTACGATTGAATAACCTAGCTTTTGTTCTTCATTTTTATTTATTTTATATGGTTTTTTCTCAGGACTCGCCAGAAAGAGAGAAAATGCGACGAATTAATTCTATGGGGGATGGTAGCGTGAAAAAAAGGCCAGGGAGGGAATTGAACCCACTATCGGGTCAACGAGCTTCTTTAGGTTCATTCTCCCGAAGAACACCTTAAAACCTCTCTATGTTCATTGTCTGATGTATTTGTTTTTTATTTTATCCACCATTTCTGCCATGAATCCGTTATTGTTGTTTTATGATGTAAATTTCTTGTTGGATTTGTGATTGAATGTACCATTGACCTAAAGTCTGCCATATTTTGTTACCATGGTTGATTCCACGTTACATGGTTTCACGTTGGTCTTCGGTATACTGTATTTTTCTTGTATGTACCAAGAACTTGGAGGTTGATTCTTCTTTCTCAATTTGAAGAGTAAATTTCATATTTCCCTTCAAGCCATTCATTGTTTGCAAACATGCTTCCGGTCCCTTTCCAAAGACTGTCATCATTATACAGAAATGGATTTTTTATTTTACATCATTATTTCATATATATTTTTGCTAAAATTGGGCTCATTGGAGGATCCAGTCCTTTTGATGACTTGCAATATTTTCTTTTAAATTAAAAATAATCCTGGTCGTTGGACAACACATATTTTTGATTCAACACTTTCTCTTATATTGCTTTCTTTACCAATATCTTACATTCTTCAACTGGTATCCTGAGGAATATATTTGCAACATGGAGTAAGTCCAAATCAGTCGTTTTTGTACTTTTTAATTTTAGAGAGTCATAAAACTATTTTAAAAAGGCATTTTTTTAAATAAAAAAGGCTAAATTAGAGGAATGTAATGTAGTTATCGCAAATGGGGTTAAAAATTTAAATTATTTGAGTGGAATAACGTGTTCTTCTTTTATATATTAAAAAAATATGTGTAGTACTAAAAAAATGCAAATTTATTTCCATGGTTGGGGGTTCATTGGATTGAACGCTATCTAATATACTTTGAATTAGAAACGTAAAATATAACTAAATAAAAAACATTAAATTTGGCAAACTGGCCACGAGATGTTTCCGTTGTGTGTAATGTACTATACCAAGTGTGAAAAAATGTTGGTCTTGTCATTGGTATAACACATTTGATCAAAATATTAATGGTGTCGTTATAATCAGTGTGAATCTCTGAAAAAAGGGGGTATTTTTATTTTTATGATAGGTTTTACCTAAGATGGTTTTTTTTTAAAATTGACTTACCCGAGATGGTGTAGAGGGGTCGGTGTTTGCACCTCCGAGTCCTCCGCCGCCTGTCACACTGACGAGGGTGGTCACGAGGCCGGCGACCCGCACCGCTTCGACGTTCGCCTTCGTCAGGTCCTTGTACAGCTTGTGAAGGTGAAACAGAGTCAGAATAACGCAAATAAGATTGATGACTATCCATAGAACATTGAGAACGTAGTGCCTGAACGGCCCGTGTACTAGGGGGCAACTGGGCGCATTGTGGCTGCCTTCAGAGTTGGCCGCGAGGGCACCGGATAAGAAGGTCGGCCCCAGGTTTATCGTTATGCTCGCGAACCATATCATAAAAGTACCGAAAAGGACGCATTGAGGTGAATCCATGAGGAGGGGTGCCATTAAGTCTTTATCTTCCTCGTCATCTTCCGGAAAGACGGGCGAGTCGTTGAGCACGGTGGTGAGCATGTTGACCGTCGACACGGTGACGAGGAGGAGGAAGGCGGTCTCTACGAGGGAACATTTTTTCACCGGTTCGCACCGGAGAATACTCATTCCCAGTGGTATCAGAATACCCGCTCTACAGCAGTCTACCATCGCTTGGTGAAACAGCAAACCCTGCGACCACCTACAGGGACAAAAAGCAACAACGATCATAGGGCTTGTTAAAGATTATAACCTTTGTAAAATACAATTGCAAGGATGTTTAATTGCTGTTCAAGTGAATAACGTCAAATTATATCTAATTTACATTCCCACGGCAAAACAAAAATAGAATACAAATTGGAAATTGATTTTGTTGGGAAATGGAACTTTTAGTGATTAAATACATATTAAACTGATCGGCATTTAATTACGCAATACTCGGTCTGTCTACTTCCCCGATGGTTTAAATTACACTTACAGCTAGGGAGAAACAGGTCCTGTCACTGGAGACAGCCTAATACAGCAACGCGTTTGAGTGAAATCTGAATCCGCGAGAGAGTAGGTGATCTTGTGAGTGATCGAGTTCGGATCTATTTGACACATGTTCACCGGCTATTAGACCAGCAAACACTACCTAATTTAGTGATTGAGTAGTTATGAATAGAAAAAAATTGAAGGTCATCCAGTATATGAGTTTTTCTTTATTTGACAACTAGGTTAGGGCCTTCTTGTATTTCACATGGTAAACAATGTTGTTCTGAATGTTAGAAAACTAGTTTGAACTTCAAAATAAGTAGTGGGCTAGTTTGAGAACAAAGTCTTGTAAATTGTGTAGGTATTTTTTTTATTTTGTTAAGGTTTAAAAACTAAGGTTAGGACCTGTAAATGAAGTGATTGACTTGTTTACCAACCAAGAAAATTATGTAAATTGAGTATATCTTTGGGTTTGAAGTCTAGTTAGGACATCCAACAGAAGTAATCGAATGAACACTAGTTTTTCAGCCAAGGAAATCTTATAAATTTAGTATTTTCTAAGGTTTGGAGACTAGTTAGGACCTCGAAGAGAAGTGATTGACTAGATTGACAATCAAAAATGTTGTGAGTTAAGTAATTGTTTAGGTTTAAAAACTAAGATTAGGACCATTAAATGAAGTGACTGACTCGTTCACCAATCAAGAAAATTTTATAAATTGATTATTTCTTTAGGTTTGAAAATTAGTTAGAATCTCCAAGAGAAGTAATTGACTAGTTTTAAAACAAGAAAATCTTGTAAATTGAGTATTCATTTAGCAGGTTTTAAAACTAGTTACGACCTTAAAATAAGTGATTGACTAGTTTATCAATCAAGGAAATTTGGTAAATTGAGTGTTTCTTTTGGTTCGAAGATTACTTAGGACTTCCATCACAAGTATTGACCTGGTCAGCCTAACTTATATAGACATAAGATACACTTAATCCCTTAATATGAACCTAAATAATATAAAATATACGTTATAATCATGGTAAATTAAGCAGGGTTGAAATGAGAAAGGTCAGCAGTTTTAGCCGTAAAGCACACACATTTTCCCGGTTATTAGCGCATTAATTTTACATAACGGCTAGTTTGTATTTGTAATTAGCTCAAGTTTCTGATAGGGTGATCACAGTTTGCAAGCGGTATGAACATCGCTAATTACCCCCAGCTCGTGTACAGATCGTAAGACTGCATTAAAGATGGGATCCGCCCATTAAGTCATCGCCATCGGGCAAAATCGTTGACGACAGCCAAAGATTTGCAGGCTTATCGCTTCCCTTTTTCGGATTAGTTGAACGATGTGCCGGAACGGGTCGTGCTTCTCGGCTTAATCCCCGTGAAAAAGGCGATATCTGGGATTAAACGTTAAACTTTACACGCCTCAGGAAAAATATGTGAAAAGGAATATTTTTATTGAACTTATTTCTCTGTTCTTTTAATTTAGCTATAGCTTAAATTCCAGTTTTATGGCAACTTCATTATGACCTATAATGATATGATATAGGCTGGGTATAACAATAGATCATCCTGGTCTGACTATCTCCTCTGATATAGTCGAACAATATGTATTCTTGCTTTCAATCTTTTATCTGTGCTTTTCCTTGCGGTTATGTCTTATTTATAGGTATGACCAAACGTGTCCGGCAGATTAAACATATAAGCACGTCTAACGATCAGAACCTAATGGTTCTTCTCCCCGCAGATCTCAACAAGTAATCTCGCTCGATGGGAATTGCTCTGCCTTCGGTACACGGCGCAACTGAACATAAATCGGAATCTCAACAATTAAATAGGTTGTGCATACCTCGTAAATCTTAACGGTTTCACTTGGCTCGGTTGTTATCGTCGAGAAATGTATTGATTCCGCCTGGTGTTAAATTAATTCGAGTGAGACCGACCGTCTCCCAATTGTAGTCTGCAAACTCTCTAACAGATGGTCGTTTCCAACCCTCGTCCCTGAAGTACGTTACAGCGATTTTCAAGGGTAAAGGGAAGTGTGAAAAAAATTCACATTTTCCACCTGTCAAAAGCAAAGAGATCCCTGGACGATTTATAAATGGATGGCCTGTTCGTGCTTGCGTCCCAACCCCTATTTAAAAAACCCAGATTTGACCACTTTTATAAATCTAGACATAATGATCTACTTTAAAAAAGTTCTAGTAGAAAAAAACCACAATGATAATACGAAGTTTCACATTATAAGGTTTTTATTCTTAACTAACTAAACTATACTGATAATAAGAGAAGTATGTTACATCAAGCTAAACGTTTAGCTCTGCTGAGGTTGGGGAATGGGATGTGAAAAATAAAGCAGAGCAGGATTTCAAGTTTAGCATTTTAAGGGGATGTCAAGATTCTTTGGGAGTAAGCTGTAGGCCCCCCCTTTTCAAAATCCAGTATGGAGGGTCCGCCGGTATAGGGTTACCCCATGGTATGGCGGGAAAGGAAGGTCTAGTTGGGGACTTTGGAATAGGAAAATGACCTTACGTTCATACCTTATGATTTACAGACTAATAATTACATATGAATTTATTATGGTGGTCAAAAATAGAACAAGGAAAGCCAGAGAAACTACTACTAACAGTCCACATGATAGCATGCCTTAGCATGACTGGTGCTGAGTCGGTGACCAGTGTTGAATCCGAAGTCCTATGAGTAGTTCCTCACTGAAGATGGCGCATATAGTATAGCAATGAGTAATGTCAAAAACCCATGAGTGTGTAACGGACCACGGCTAGTTTAAAAGGTTCACCTCGAAACTGAGAAGAACATCATTAAAGAAACGTAATTCTTGGAAGAAAACCCATTAACAGACATCGGACACAATAGAAGAAAGTATTTGTAAAACTAATTAAGGTTTTGGTTGTCGCCGAGAATGAAATAGATTACACTTGAATTTGAAAAATGGCAGAAAGAAGGGAAAATTCAAAAGGTGGGGTTGAGGTGGGAAGTTGGTGTCCGAGTGGCTCGAAGTCACGATAGCTCAGGTGGTAGAGCAGCGGCGTTGGTTCGAATCCCGCTTGTGACACTGACTTTTTTATCTCAACCAAAACCTTAATTAATTGAAAAGAATTTATTTGGACAAGCGAACAACGAAACCTTATAAAAATGCAAATCATATAAACACTACGAAATCTCTACGTAGTGTTTATACAATGGCTATAATATTTATACAAAAAATTTGATTAAAATGTGATATAGCCCAAAAGTTGACAACGCATTGGTAAAAATAACATAAGTTGCACCTACTCACAAATGAAAGCCTACACTATAATGACACACAAGAAAAATAAGACAATGAAGATCATTTGTTATGCATGGACTTTTTAATTTTAAAACTTTATGATTTCAAGAGAGTTTAATCAGTATTTTTTATCAATTCTTTCTTCCCATATGCGCGTAAGGTTGAAGTGGTGCAATTACGGTTCAAATTTATATTCTCCCTCTGAAAAGTTTTAACTTGTTATACATCCTTGGTCGGGTTATAATTCCCCTAAGAAGTTTTGCATCTCTTTTTCCCCCTTGTCACTTTATCAATTTGCCTTTGAGACGTTTAAACGAAAAACAAAACGTTTAAGATAGCTATCAAAGGTAGTAAAGGGGTGAGGTTTTCTTTTAAAAGCATGCCAAGGGAACGTCACCTGCAGGACCCGTGTCAAAAGTAAAAAAAAAGAGAAGAAAGCCGGGCTGTAAAAAACTTGTTGGACCTTATCCCCGGCAGTTATTCTTTTTTAAAAGAAAGAGGCGGCTCCCTATGAGCAACGAGCTACTTCATTCGTGAAATAACGGCCGAAGACTGGGAGAAATTGATCCCAGCACTAAGGAGCTCTCGAGAGGGAGTAAGCTAAGAAAATTGCTCATTTAAATATCAAAGAAAAAAGGACTCTATTCCATTTTGGCGTTCAGAAGGAAAGGAAAATACAGGAATCTTCTTTTAAAGTCCCAATTTGTTTATGAATTATTAAGATAAAAGTCATTTATTTGTATATGCCTATTCGTATTATTTTTTTAGACTGTGCTTTTATTCACTTACAACCTTGGAATAAAGCTAACGAATTTTTCAGTTCCTATGCTAAAAGAAAAACGCTATCAGTGTATCGTCAAATACGTTCTGATTTATTTTTTACGATGACTGTTCAATAGCAGTCCTATGCCTCTCCATTTTCTCATTACTGATGAGCGATGGTCAGGAATCGGCTCTGGCCAGAATGAACGAAATCCTCAGAAGCGAGTCGGAAGGGAAAAGAATAGAAGTGACGAGGGGTCATTAGCAAGTTGCTAGCCGGGTCTACAAAGGGCGCCTCCGGGTCAATCAACGACGGTATTCAGTATGGTGCCTACGTGAAGTCTAGTTGCCTAATTACCTCATTCTACTTGCCGACTAGCTTTTAACTTTCCGAAGCGCCCTTTTTTAGGGGTGGATTTTTCCCATTTAATCTCATATCGAAGAAAAAGCAAGATAAACATATTTGAAACGGAAGGAAAATAAAGATGTTCGGTATTTTTTCTCTTTCAATATATACAGCAGTTTATACTGATGCTTATAGGTAGATAGTTTGTTTTATTTTACAACATAATATTTTATTCTGGCAGCTACATGTTAACGATCTTATTAAAATCTCATGTAGAAGTATTTTCCGCTTTTTATTTTACTTTTTTAGTTTTTTACCTCTTGGAAAATCACGTTT